ACAAATTTCTCTGTCTCTCGCATCGCTCAATTCATTTATGAGTTGGGTCGGATCAACCAGATTTAACCCGACTTTACCTGACATACGAAGAAAAAATTCCTTTTCCTTTTTACTTGAATCATCGTAATCACATTTGAAAATCGATCGAAATGATATGATATTTATTCTTGTTAGCTAAGATATGCGGAATATCTTAAAAGAATATATGATTTATCTAATGCCAAAGGAGGGTCACTTTGTTGGTCGGACGCTAAAATTGGATACCATTATGCTAAAAGAACGTGTGATTTATATAAGCTGAACGAATATATGTAAGTGTGACCGAGTCGGACTTACTGGAATTCCTTAGCCAGACCTAAACATGGAGTTGACTCCAATGTTTTACTCGTGTTTTGCCTTTCATTTCGGTTATGACCTAAGTCAACAACCAAGTTCTAATCACACGCAAATTTGGGTTTCCGTGAGGTCGGACTTCCATTGGGTCGGATTTTGAAGCAACGGGCTTAAATTTGAGACATAATTTCACAATAAGGACCTCATGCTAATAAGAGAATCAATCAATGGTATGTTATTCTTTTCAGGAAGAGATGGAACCAAAGAAAGAGCCTTCTCGCAGATGCCCGGTTTTGGTAAATAAGCAGATTATATACTCCACTTTAACGAGCATTGGCCTCAACCAAATATGAAGGTTTTAGATTCGATTTAGTATAAGTAACACGCTCATCAAATAATTTCTTGTCTCTATCTCTCTCTTTTCAGTTCAATTCCGCATCCATGGTGCATTCCTTTCTCCATTTACTAAAGCAACCGAGCATTTTCCATCTCTTCTGGCAGATTTCATCAAAGTTTTCCTCTTACTTTCCTTCAGTTTTAATGGAAAAAAAAGAAGAAGAAGAAATTATCAGTCATTAGATGAGAAAATTACCAAAAAAGTCACAAACCTATTACAATTGTGCCAATTCAGTCTTAAACTTTTTCTTTGCCAATTAAGTCCTAATCATTTTGCAATTGTGTTAATTTAGTCCATCCAGCCAACTTTGGCCGGCCTACATTGATGTGGACATCGACCGTTCTACGTGACACCGCCGGTACTGATGTGGACAATTTTTAATAATAATTTAACATTTTTTTCAAATTATTTATTTATTGAATTTTATTCTTTTCTTTTTCTTTCTTTTTTTTATTCCCTTCTTCTTCTTCCTCTAGCTGGTCGCCGGACCTCGACGATTGCCCAGAGGTGAGGGTCGGCAAGCTCGCCGGCCTCAGGGAAGGCATGACCTCGCCAGATCCGGCGAAGTTGTGCCGTGCCTAGCCCTCTCGCAAGGGCTCCCTCACCCCACCGGAGGCCACAAGGTCAAGGCCGCGATCTTGCCACCTCTAGCAAGGGCTTGAGCCTGGCCAGTGGCTAGGCGAGGCATAACCTTGTTGGATCTAGCAAGATTGGGCCTTGCCCATAGCCGATGAGGCTCGAACCCTCGCCAGACATAGTGAGGGTGAGCCTCGTCAGCACATCAAGCGGCCTGGGCAAGACTCGCCTTGCCGGCTCTCACCTCTGGCTGGTCATCGAACCTCGGCAACCGACTAGAGAAAGAAGGAGAAGGGAATAATAAAAAAGAAAGAAAAAGAAAAGAAAAAAAGGAAAAAAAATAAAATAATTCAAAAAAATATTAAAATTGTCCACATCAGCGTCGACAGTGTCATGTAAAATAGCCAGCGTCTACATCAGCACTAGCCGGCAAAAGTTGGTCAGATAGACTAAATTGGCACAAATGTAAAAGGTTTAAGACTCAATTAGAAAAAAAAAAGGTTTATGACTGAATTAACACAATTGCAATAAGTTTATGACTTTTTAGGTAATTTTCTTGTCACTAGACTTTATTTTTCTTTCAGTTTTATTGGAGTATCCAACATCGCTTACTAATGGAATTTATATGCTTTTTATACACATATGGAATTGAACCGCTTAAACTTTTTAGTCTTCACTTATCTATTTAAACTTTTGGGTTGGACTTCTTAAAATAATACCAAAATCATATTCCTCTTTAGTCACTCTAAATCCGGCTTGCACATTGCTTGATAATGGGGTTTTGCTTTTCTCTACTTATTAGTTTAAACTTTTAAATTGAACTTCCTACCGGTAACAAAGAAAAGAAGACTAGTCCTCGAGATTTGCCCTTTGCGTTTCAGAGAGCCTGAGACTCCATCTACACCCACAGTTGCAAAATCATTTACAAAAGTCAACGCTTAGTCAATCGGATGGAGAGGTCCGAGGAAAAAATACCCTCCGCCTATCACAGAAAAAAAAATCTTAAATTTTACCCGCAATGACACCAATAATTCTAACCTTTTTTTTATGTGTAATTGATATCCCAAACTTATATCAGTATAACAAAAGTTTGTGGTATTGATATAACAGTGAAAAAAATTTATAAGTTTTGATAACACAAAAAAAAAAGTTTGGAGTGTTAAAGTCATGGTGGTTATAATTTAGGATTCTTTGTGACATAAAAATAAGTTTGGTTTGACCGGGACTAAAACTTCGTTTGTTCTTTACCAAAAAAAAAAAAATAAGTTTGGGGTACTAATGTCATGATTATCACAATTTAGGGTTTTTATCGGTATCAACCCAACTTTAAGACCTTCGATCTTTAAAATGATGAACCACTGAGTTCCTAGACTAGGCAGTGATTGCGTTCTTAGTTGGGAACGGGGAGGTCAGGGGGTTGGACCCCTCGCCTCTCCTGCTTTGCCAGATCCGCGAGCGGTGATTCTGCTTCGATCCGTACCTTCGCATATCGAGTTCGAATCCTCCGACTCGAGTACTCAGCTCGGACTTATTCCAGCGTAGTGATGGGAGGAGATATCGCTGCAATTGGAGCGAGCTTGAGGACGGCCGCAGATCTCCAATATCGTCATGAAAAGAAAAACAAGAGAGGGTCGCACTTCTCACACGGCGTATTAAAATATACCATGTTGGTTGTTGCATGGATTCTTACGAATTCCCCAATTTTCTTAATCCCGTCAATCGAGTTTCAAGGCACACGTGTCTGGCGTCATGGCCACTCACAGGAATTTGTTCCCCTGCAAGTGATGAGGCCGATGCGATTCCCAGCTTTTAAGCACACATTTTTATTTGGAGAAGATGTTTCTTTCTTCCTCCTCTTTTCATTTTCATTGATGGTATCGCATCTCCGATACGCATTCCCAGCGATAAGGTTGGAATTTTCAATATCGCCCGCATATGAGTGGATCGCTTGTGCTCTGTCCACATTCAAGTCCTCCAATCACCAAGCTTGAACTTGCCACCCACCAACCCCAAAAAAAGAAGAAGAAAACCAATGTATGTCCAATGCAGTTCGTGTCCAGACAACATTGACCCGGTCGACTTTCAGCTCTTTTTTTCCAGTAATATGTCGATTCGCGATCCGTGTCTGATTGAAAAACTTTAGCTAATAGATGGGAGAGATCACATATTCAACAAACACTTATAGCAACGTTATTGAGTGACTTGAGATATGTCCTCTCACATGCAAGCTGAACCAAGAAGGGAAGAACAATGGTAGCGCCCGAGCCTGCAATCTAGTGGTGCGGGGAGGGCGAAACTTTCGATTGTATTCGGCTTTAGTAGTTTGGCTTAGGCACTTGCATTATCGTGACATATAGGGAAGAATACCACATAATAAATCAGCCTAGTTCTATTGATTAGCGACATGTAAACAATTGAAAAGAAAGATCTAAAATAAAAATTGACCTCGAATTTTCTCGAGTCACATTTATATGGGAAAATTGTCCAAAAAGTTCTACATCAATTGCACTTTTGCCAATTCATTTATAAAACCTTTCAATTTTGACAGCTGAGTCCTAACCCTTTTCATTTTTGCCATGACTACTCGAGCTCGAGCTCAAACTCTGGCCGCCAAATCTTGAGCTTACGGCTGCCATGGCCGCTCGAGCTCTGGGTTCATGGCCATGGTGGCCGCGAACCAGCTAGGTTGCCTCACCAATGCCTGCTCGAGCTCGACTCGTGGCCATGGTTGCCAGATCTCGAGCTTGCAATTGCCATGGCCGCTCGAGGTCGAGCTCTGGGTTCGTGGCCATGGTGGCCGCAAACCGGCTAGCCTACCTCATTAATGCCTGCTCTAGCTCGACTCGTGGTCATGTTTGCCAGATCTTGAGCTTACAGTTGCCATGGCCGCTCGAGCTCTGGGTTCATGGCCATGGTGGCCGCGAACCGGCTAGGCTGCCTCACCAATGCCTATTCGAGCTCGACTCGTGGCCATGGTTGCCAGATCTCGAGCTTGCAATTGCCATGGCCACTCGAGGTCAAGCTCTGGATTCGTGGCCATGGTGGCTGCGAACCGGCGAGGTTGTCTCGCCCATGGCTGCTCGAGTTCGACTCGTGGCCATGGGCCAGGTCGAGCGAGGGTCGTGACCCTCACCGACGGCCAACAAGAGCTTTGCTGCTCTCACCCAGTGGCCAGTGAGGATCCGGTGACCCTCATCGGCCACAAGCAAAAAAATAAAAATAAAAGAGAGAAAAGAGATGAAAAGAAAAAAAGGAAAAAGAAAAGAAAATTTAATTTAAAAAATTCGAAAAAAAAATATTATGAAAAATTATTTATGTCAGCGCCGACCGTGCCACGTAAGATAGCTGGTGTCCACGTCAGTGATTCCAATCAAAAAAAGTCGGAAGGATTTAATTGGTAAAATGTAAAAAGGTTTAAGACTCAATTGGCAAAATTGAAAGGTTTAGGACTGAATTGGCAAAAGTGCAACAGGTTTAGGACTTCGTGGAAAAAAAATTTCCGTCTATATGTTAGGCATTAATATTATGTTGCTCTAACACAAAACATGATGGAACGTACCCGGCTACAGCTTTACCCGGTACATGTTAACATCAAAACCCTTCAGTGGAACGCAAAGTTATCCACACAAAAATTATTTTAGGTTATGGAGAATATGATATCATATTATGTGAATCTAGGCGCACTTGGAGTAAGTTAGCGTTTATTCAGAATTGAAAGTTCCAAGCCATCGACCTTAAATAGCCCAAGGCATCCTCAGATTTTGTGAAAACTCAATTATCGAAACCCTTATCGATCCCAATCTCAAAGAAGTTTGCTCATCAACCATGTCAACATTGTCGCCCAACATGACGACGGTGAGGATATCGTCGGACGGAGCATGGCAAGGAGACAACCCGTTGAGCCACGCCTTCCCTTTGCTCATCGTCCAAACCATTTTGGTCCTCTTCCTCAGCCGATTCCTCGCCTTCCTCCTCAAACCACTTCGCCAACCCAAAGTCATTGCTGAGATTTTGGTACATGATTCCTATTCGATTGGCCTTTTCGGTTGTGATATATAAGTAACGCTAGTGAAATCATACTTATAGAGAGGCAACACATAAATTGAGAAGAAAATCGTAAAGGCATAGAATGACCAGCATAGGAGAATCGTGAAAAATCTGTATGTCATAAAGGCTACGCAACACGCTTGACATGTTTTTGGTTGGATCTCTTGTTTCAGGGTGGAATTCTGCTCGGGCCGTCGGTGCTAGGGCGCGTCGACAGCTTCCCGAACCTAGTTTTCCCTTCGTGGAGCATTCCAGTACTCGAGTCCGTGGCGAGCATCGGCCTACTCTTCTATTTGTTCCTAGTGGGCCTCGAGCTCGACTTGGGCTCCATCCGGAGGTGTGGCAAGAATGCTTTTGGCATCGCGTTCGCCGGCATATTGCTCCCTTTCCTCTTTGGAATGGGGGCCACCTTCATCCTCCGCAAGCTCGTCCACGGGGAAGAGAAGGTCGGTTCCAGCCAGTTCCTTATGTTCATGGGAGTCGCCCTGTCCATCACTGCGTTCCCCGTCCTAGCCCGCATCCTTGCGGAGCTCAAGCTTCTCACCACCCGAGTGGGCGAGACCGCCATGGCCGCCGCCGCGTTCAATGATGTCGCTGCTTGGATCATGCTGGCCCTAGCGGTGGCGCTTGCCGGGGGTGGCAGCGGTGGCCCGAAAAGCCCGTTGATTTCCTTGTGGATCCTCATTTCAGGTATGGCCTATGTTGGCTTCATGTTTGTTGTCATCCGGCCCATGATGAACTGGATGGCCCGACAGTGCTCGCCGGAGTACGATTTTGTGGACGAGGCTTATATTTGCGTAACCCTAGCCGGGGTAATGCTATCCGGGTTCATGACGGATCTTATAGGGATCCACTCCATCTTTGGAGCCTTCGTGTTCGGCTTGACGATCCCAAAAGGAGGCGTGTTCGCAACTAGATTGATCAAGAGGATCGAGGACTTCGTGTTGGGTTTGCTCCTCCCGCTCTACTTTGCGTCGAGCGGGTTGAAGACCGACATTGCTAAGATCCGGGGGGCAGAGGCGTGGGGGTTGTTGGTCCTGGTAATATCCATGGCATGTACCGGTAAAATTCTAGGGACATTTGTGGTGGCAATGGTGTGTATGATTCCCATTAGGGACTCAATTGCGCTTGGTGTGTTGATGAACACTAGAGGGTTGGTGGAGCTCATTGTTCTCAACATTGGCAAAGAAAAGAAGGTTAGTGTTTCCTTCTCCCACGATTTTGAGACAAGATCAAAAAATGGATGTTTAAGTTTAATTAATTCATCCATGAACGGCAAAACTTACTTTTTAAGCTCTTTGACACATATATGTACCTAAATCTTTATTGCACGAGTCCAGTGTTTGTGTCTTTATCTAGCTAAGATTGGTGTATAAGGTTAGTTGACAAATCGATGAGGGACTTACAAATGCTTTGTTTAAATGTTCACTTACACTCTACCACATTATCTTGTAAATCGATTTCGTAGAATTTCCTAGTTTTAGTATAGCTCACATTAATCAAGCTATGATTAGTCTCTCACCTTTTAATAGTGTTTTGATCCATGTTCCCCTTGACTTGTCAAAAGACTTTCGGCGGTGCACTTTACACTTTGACTTTTAAACCTCCTTTTTTCCACCCTTAGCAAGATCAAACAACTTATGAAATATTAGCTCCAAAGGACATAGCTAGATGTATAAGCCTTCATCGGAACACGTAATGTATGAGAACTTCTCTTTCGATGGCGAAAAGGCCCACCGTAAATAATTTCGGACCCATGAATATGTGAAAATAAACCGTTCCACAAGTTAATGTATAGAAAGAATCCTTTGTGATGGTAGCTAGGGTTCCTAAGTTGCTGGTCAGTGATTCCTACTTAGACAATCAGCATCCTAGGTTGTTCTTCCCAACAAATAAAATGAAAAGAAAACTGAGAAACTTCATGCTTAAGTTAGCGTATAAATAATGCAACTAAAATTCACATCTTGGGTATGCTCATAAGGTAAGACCGAATCATGTGCATTTCAATTTTCTTCTAAATAATGTATATGATGATTCTCAAGTTCAGGTTGTCTTCGTACGTCTTTTTGGCGGTATATTCAGGCTTTCAGAAACTCATGTACATAAATGGTTTTATACTTATCTTTTAAATGGCGGTCCACAAGATTACCAAACTCCCTTCTTGTTAACCCTTCAGTGCACAAGAAAGTACTAGTCAATTAGTCGCGCCCCAAACCATGCCTTTGGCTATCGCTTGACATACGGCGCAGTATCAATTCCACAGACATGGTTGTCAACCTTGATAGTCTTTTCCAACTTTAATGTGCATAAAAACGATGGCCATTTCGATCTGTGAGCTTCACAAAAGTCATGATTATATGGGTTATGGCACCAAAAGGGTAACACCCCACTTAACAGATATTTTTCTCAGTGGCAAGCATGTCGTACTTATCTATAAACCATGTCACTAGATGTCCTAATCGTGGGGAGGAGGAGAACTCTTTGAACAACATGGTTGTTCTTAGGGTCTGGTTTAGCTTTTGTTGGAGTGGTGTTCGATCAAATGATTTGCCAATGACCCTGTCAAAACCAAGCTTCAATATGCCCTAGAAAGACACTAGACATGGGGAGACGTGGCTGCGTGCCTTTTTGACTTTTATCTCCACAAAACCAGCACTTACACAGTGAATAAGACTAAATCAACCAATTAGGGTTTGTGATATGATTCCTTTTTCTAATAGTGGGAGATCAATCATGACAACATAAATTCGTTATGTGCCCTCGTTTTCATCTTTTCACCCTAGAGCCGTAGCTCGGAATATACTGATCTATATGTCTTCTTCGGAGTTGTTCTAAACTTGTGTGGATACGCGCAAGTAATAAAGGATGATATGTAATTTTCCTGCTTTTTTGTTATGCTTTTGTATTGTGGTATGTTCGAGATGTTTCCCTCTTTTTGGGATATTGAGGAGATTAGGTTTTGTTTGTGAGTGAAACAAATCCGTGGCGATCGCTTTTGGAATAAACGGAGATTGCGGTGTGTTCTATCCTTTTAAAGGAGCACTATATCCAAAGAAGGGTTCCTTTAGTTGGTGAAGAATGTTTTACCAAATTCTCTCTTTCTTTTTTTTTCATTTTCACGTGAGATCTAAAACAAATTCGAAAAGTTGGTTTGGAGAAACTCTAAAGATATTTCTAACAAATAAGAATAATTATTGTCAAAAAAATTATCAAGTTATAGACCGAAAATAAGTTTTGGTGTTTCATTGTCTTGTGCTAATTGCGAAATAGAGAGATTCGAAGTACAAAAAAATTGCTTTTTTGTGATATGATGGGATACAAACATATTTTCAAATTTCTTTTGTTCTTCCACTTACCAAAACTCACCCTTAATTTTTACAAAAATTGAAATTCTTTTTGAAATCAAATGGTCTCAAAATGTGCGATGGTCATCCTTTCTCACCCCTTTTACTAATAAAAACAATGATTTGTAAACGTTTGAACCCCTGAAATGAGCAGATTCATCGGGGTTGACGGGAATGCAAATCATTTAGAAAATAATAAAATAAGTGTGCTCGATTAGAAACGAAAGTTAAATATGTAAGTAGTGATGACGATTAAGTTTTTTCTTTTTGTCAGAATGATAAGGATAAAGTTAATTTACGACTAAAATACCCTTGTAGTGTTGAACTAAGTAATTATCCCCAAAAAAAAACGTCGTCAGTACACTAATTGGTTTATTGAGTCAAACTATCAAGTTAATGTTTTTTTAAATGCATGAAGAGATTGTTTTGTTTTCTTTCCTTGTCAACAACAGGTCCTGAACGACGAGGTGTTCGCGATTTTAGTCCTCATGGCGATATTCACCACCTTCATGACGACTCCTATAGTCATGGCCATCTATAAACCGAGGCAAATCATCCCTCCTCTGGTCGTTCGCAGATTGAGAAGACAACAGCACCTTTCGGAAGACGAGCTCCGGGTGCTCGCCTGCGTACATGGACCGGGAAACATACCGTCGCTAATGAAACTCATGGAGTTCACAAGGACCAGTCTGAGTCCCCCTCTCCGGCTCCACGTAGTCCGGCTCGTCGAGCTCACCGACTGTCCGTCATCCATCATCATGGTCAGGCGAGCTCGGAAGAACGGGCTTCCCCTCATCAACTGCTTTTGTCATGGCACCATGCATGACCAAGTGGCAGTGGCTCTTCGGGCGTACAGCCAAGCAAGTCACCTGACTATCCACCACTCGACGGCCATCTCGGTCCTGTCCACCATGCACGAGGACATTAACCACGTGGCGCAAGAGAAGAGGGCGGAAATGATCATCTTGCCATTTCACAAGCAATGGAGAGGAGAGAACGAGGAGGAAATAGAGAGCGTGAGCTACGAATGGAGAGAGGTCAACAGGAAAGTGCTCGAAAGTGCGCTGTGCACTGTGGCCATACTCCTAGACCGCGGGCTTGGCGACGAGTTCAGGCAATGCGAAGAGCAGGAAGCCATTGTGGAAAGACAGATTTGTGTCGTATTCTTTGGCGGACCAGACGATCACGAGGCTTTGGCGCTGGTGCGAAGGATGGCAAACAATCCGATGGTCAAAGTTAGCATTATAAGGTTCTTTGATGAACCCGGGAAGGATTTTATGAACGTCACGGGCTCTTCCTCACTAAATATGTTCGAGGAGAGACGGTGCATCCCCGCGGAGCCAGGTGATGAAGAGAAGGAAAAGGTAAGCTTTCTTGAGGCTTTCTTAAGAACAATTTCAAAATTGCAAGTTGATGAAATAAGCAGTAAACATCAGAAGTAAATGATCTCGAACAGGAAATGGATGAGGCGGCGGTGGAGGAATTCCGGACTAATCATGGCTCAACAAACTACTTGGTGAAGGCTGCGAACAACAACCTCGTGGAAACACTGATGGCAATAGGCCGAAGCCAGGAATATGATTTGGTTGTGGTAGGAAAGGGTAAGTTCCCATGGTGGATGGAGGCAAAGCTGGCTAACCATGAGATCGAGCATGACGAACTGGGGCTCATAGGAAGCATTTTGGCTCGATCGGACGAAGGTCTCGTATCCTCAGTACTTGTGGTGCAGCAGGGTGTGGTCCAAAGCAACAAGGTTCCTGAGAAAAATTGCAAGATCATCAACGGCGCAAACGCAGAATCATGCGCTTGAGCATCCCGGCAGGGCGAGAGAAGACCTATGTAGCCTTTTCTGTGTAGTCACTGTAAAGAGGTTGGTCACTGACTTGTAGTGCGACAATATCGGTCAAATAAGCAGTGTGTGTGATGTAATGTTACATAGTAAACATGCCTAGTTATCAATTTTCAACAATGGATCATCTGCCTAGTATGTAGATTGTATAAGAACCTTTGTGCGCTAAAAGAGTTGCCCTTCACCCAGCTACCAGTGGTTCAGAAGGAAGATAAAATCAAGATATCCGAGCAATATCAATCCAAACAAAAAATCGCGGTCCAATGTTAACAACGAATGCTAAAGATAAAGGGCCAACAAAAAAAAGTAAGGGAATAGACTTTACCGTTCCCTTTTCCTTCAAAGTTTCAACTCATATAACCACGCAACTTAAGTTAAATTCACAGCTTTGATAGACCACCTCTAAGACCAATGCCAGAACATCAATAGTCCATTTTCTAGGACAATGAATCTTTGTAAATGTGATGATGCATGTTCACCCACTTTGCATAATCCTCGAAATGGAGGATTTGACCTGATGAACTTTAGGTATGTTAACCCTCCCCAGAATAGCTTGATCTTTAACAGTATTGGACTGGCAACAAATTTATAAATATGAATCAAAAACCAAATAACATGGAACACATAATCACAAAAAGCACTATATCCGACTAAAGTCAACATGACCGTTGAATTGCTTTAAAAAAATTCCAGTTACAAATAATGATATTGTACTCACAAAAATCAGTCTTCTCTCAACCTTTGATGAAAGTTATACATACATAAACTACTTCGGAACATGCCAAAGCTGTCCATAAATTTCACAGGAAAACATTGACGCAAAACCTAAAAAAAAGTTTAAAAACCATTATCGGCAGCTGTTTGATACCTTCTATTGAATAAATCTCCATCTTACTCGCCATCGGATGAGTAGCTACAATCTTGTCAAAAAGTCACAAATAAAATGGAGTCAGGAGAAAATATAATATGCTCTACCTTGCCACATAAAATATTATCTGATCGAAAGCTGTTCTTGTTATATAGTTCATGATTAGAACAAGTCAGACAGAGCAGAGAGGTCGATGCTGAGAGCTCAACACTACTGACACCTCCATCAGTCTATGTGAAGTTAAGTACTGCATATGACCAGTGGGGGAAAAAAAATATATAAGAAGCTTCTTCAAGATGAGAAAACCTGTTTCTCTTTAAAAAAATATATAAATAAAAAAGAACAGGGCGTTGAGTCCTTAGCATTAAGATGCACATCAACTTTCACAATAATTGATACCACACAAACTTGCATTTCAAAGCACGATAGAGAAGTTGTCATATACCTTAAAGGAAGCCTCCTTCTGTCCATGTGGCATCTGATTTCCCATTGTGACCAGCAGTTCCCTTATTTGGGGCACTCTGATACCAGTTATCAAATCCATCGTCCTTCGCATCATCCCATCCAGCCCAACTGTCATTGTTACCAGATGTGCCTCCCTTTGTTGTTTCTTCCTTCTTATTCTCTTTGTGGTCCCAATCGTCCCAAGAGCTCGAGCTAAAGGTTTTGGCATTTCCACTTGAAGAAGACTGCCCTCCAGAAGAAGCATTCCATCCTTTACTCTCTTGATTAAACTCCTGATAATATCCATTTCTCTCACTGTCGTTTCGTTGCCAGTTTTCATTGTTCCAGGTCACGCCATCTTTAGTATACTCCTCAACCTTCTGGGAAGCTATCGCCATTACTCCTTTCATAATGCCCCACGTCCTCTGTCCAATCTCTGTAGTTTTGTTGGTCACAACACTGACAGTTTCATTCACCTTGTGATCATAGCCTCCTTCCTTCACCTGTAAAATGATTTATCTCAATATAACTAACCAAAAGAAGGAGATTCATTCAACCCATCAAGGAAAAACCAAACAAAAATGCTCAAATATCCTTATCATAAGAATGCTGATCATAATCAAGACCAGAGAATCAAACTAAAAGCATGCACTTTATGAGTCAATAGTAGAGGCAGAAAAGGGCTTTAACTGAGTAACAGCATTGACTTCTAATCCTCAAAGACACCCAAGTCCAGCAGTAAAGAATCATCCGGATCCCAGCATTAAATGCTGAGATAGGAGAGCGAAATTGAACCAAAAAGCAATTCATATCAACAGAATCAAAAGAACCAGTCAAATCTTCCAGAAAGACACCCAGACAATTGCCCCAATTTAACAACCACAAAGATCATAGATTTTACTCCAACAAAAAAACAGCCTGCAGACTTGTGGCTTTCATATATGAAAGAATCTGAAAAAGATACTAAACCATCATCATCCACACAGTTAAAAGGCCAGCAAATGGTTGACATTTCACACAGATGATAGTTTGGCAACAACCATTATGCAAAAAGGTCAGTTAAATGTCCTAAGTTGTCCTCAGATCATAAAAATTTAGTTATTGGGCAAAAGAGAATACAGGAAGCCTTTCAAGCAAAATCATAAGAAAAGCAAAATGCCTAAACTTCGTAAAATCTGCAATAAGTTCTTTAAGATCATTGAGAGCTACAGGCTGAACCAAAATTAACAAAATGTGAAGGAAAAAGGGAGTAGCTACCCATTACATATTTTAAGTACATAAGAGAAAACAATGCTTACAAAGACCACTGTCAAATCACATCATTGCTTACACATTTCTGCAACCTAATGTTGACATAGAAACACAGAAGCTGACAGCAGAGAACAAGAACACCCGTTTAATACTTAACGAGCTAAAGTTTAACAAGGCCCATTATGCAACCAGAACTGTAACTACTTCCCTGATACTCGATGCAGTCACACAATTAAACAAGTTGATATTTGTCCAAATATTGATGCTTTTACCAAGCTTTGATTATGATGGACAGTTGTATTAATTCACGACTCAAACGAGAGTGCCAACTGGGAGAGATTCTACCTATTAAGATTTAAGTACTGCTAACAATTTATTAATTTTCATATTTTATCATAAGTAAGATATTACATTTCTTGTACTAAGATTCCTATTTCAATTAAGTTTCTTGTCTAGAGGTTTCCTACTTCAGTTTGGAGTGAGATTTGATTATCTATAAATACATGCTCTCGAATGGATAGAAACCATGGAGTGAATGAAGTTTATTGAGTTTTAGCAATTGTTTGCCTTTGGATTGAGTGACACAGTTCTTTCTTAGTGTGGTGCTCAAGAACTCCTGGGATGTGCTGGCTATGACGCCTAAAGGAATTCATTTGTCTTGAATCATCATTATTCATTGTGATCTCTCTTCAAACTATCAGTTTAATCGGGACACTAATTTGGGACTCATCATCCTTGTACAACTAATTGAAAAAAAGATGCAGGTTTTTCTATTTTTTTCTAAAGAGAAAAGATAAAGTTCACCTACGAATATTGCACTCCACAACCACATCAATTTGCTGGCTCAAATTATTTTGTTTTAGATTTCCCTTGCAATTCCCTTTTATTTTTCTTTTTGTTTTGGTAGTAGGAAAACATTGTCCTTTACCTTTACGCTATCTACATTTGCCCCAAATCCTTATGTTTTTAGGATGGGATTCAGTTACTCCTTATGCATGTGACTAATGAGGAAGGATTTCAAGAGTGATGGACTACATTCACACAGAAGTACAGCGATAGTAAGGATTGCAAGGAAAACTAGGACAGGTTGTGAAAGTATAGGGAGCAAAGTGACACCAAATTAACTTCAAAGAGCAAAGTGACGCAGGGAAAGAACAGGGCATAATGCAAGCATCACTTGCTTCAAGAGTGACTACATTCCCACAATAAAACACAATGACTTTAAGGAATTTGAAAGCATGTGGTGGAAATAACACAGAATAAACTTCTGAGGCAAAGTCACACAGAAAAGACAACTTCTGAACCAATTACTAAAAGAAGGTACTTAAAGTCCAAGAAACTAAAGCAATTCCTGGCCAATCTGAACTCACAATACTAATGAAAACGTAAGTGCTCTACCCACTAACTAATAAACTATTTGACAAGATAAAAAGGAGTCCTAGGGGGTGGAATCATCTAACATATGGTCGTTGATCTACAGAACCAGTGGAGACAATTCTCAAACCATTCAAGTAACGTTTAACCTTTTTGCAAAGAAACCCAAGATATGCTCCATAATATTGCTTGACTAGAAAGAGCAAGAATACTTATCCAGTATTGGCCCCAAGTAAAGGGTATATCTCTCCAGCAAAATGAAATGAGTGTTGTATATCATTCCTAATCCACAAACACAAGGGCAATTGCAACAATGTAGTAGTAGTCCTCGACATTGTCCCTCACTCCAAAGAAAAAGAAAAAGAAAACTATAGTGGGTCTTTTCCTATAACCTTACTTGCCTAATGATGCCATTATCAAAATGTCAGTTTTCTGCTGTAAGTGAGCTCCTAAATATCAAGAATTAAGTTGTCTGATTATGTTGCATTGTTCAGAATCATACCAACAAGAGTCACTAAAATTTCTGCCCAAAGGTCAACTTAAAATAATCGTCCGAAACACATTCTCAAACAACTGCAAATTCAAGATATACCAGATGGCTACGAGACTATATAAGACTTGTATTTTTCATGACTCACATGCTTTAACTTTGCTCAAAACTTCTGCGCTAAGCTAGCTTACTTTGTAACATTATCATCCAAAACCCTCCAAAAGGTCAATGCTCCAATCACTATCCATACAAATAATTACCATCCCAATTGCACCCTTTGGTCCACCAATTCATCTAACCAGCGCCATTAGCATGCAAGAGAAAGATTCGAGCATATGGCAAGAAAAACTATTCCTCAGTTAGTCTTTTCCAAGCAAAATCTACCATGACGATAGAGAATGTTAAGCATGAGAAAGAAATCAAGAACAAAAAATCTGCAGCCAATCTTCCCCAATAAATCAATACTGCTGAACTTGTTGCTGGCCTAGTTCCAGCTAATTACATTCTCAGATACCTCAAAGAGGCAACTTCTTATCCAACTGAATATAAGCCAAACCAATAGTATTCCAAATTCTGCATACCTTAGCAGTGATCTCCTTCGTTCCTGCTTGGACCACACTTGCAGCTGACTGAGCTGCTGATGCCGCGACCAATGACAACCTACCCAATCCCTGCAAAATACAAAATCCTCGATTCACTAATAATACATCCTACACTACATCAATCAAACGAATCACCAACAATTTCCGTATAACAACAAACCTGGGATACAACAGAGAGCACGTCCCCTTGTGAATTATTGTTGTTACTCATCCTGGGAGGCGCAGGGCTCGATCCAAACCCAACATATTTTCCGCCTTGCGAGGGTGGGAGCCCCTCGGGCCGCGAATCGTTCTCTGCCATCTTCTGAGCAAAGAAGCTCTCCTTATTAACCGCGGATGCCTCCAACTGCGACCGAGTGTAGATGTCCTGTGTAGACTTAGATCTCACCGGAGCGCCACTTCTCCCTCCGCCGCCAGCACCGCCCCTAAAATCGTTGGCCGATTGATTCCGCCTCATATCGCTGGAAGATCTAAAGCTGTCGTCATTATCCCAGCTATCCCAACCGCCGTCCGCGCCGCCGCCGCCGGTTTTCTGAGCCAAGGGAGGCCTGCTCTTGCCCCCGCCGAGGCTCTCCTTCACGACGGGAGGGTCCCGCCACGGGCGGCCCTCGGCGAGCGCCTGAATCCGGTCGCGGTACACGCCGGCGGCCTTGGTGTTGTACTTGGTGACGATGTCGGTCTCCTTGGGGATCCCGTACTGGGCGAGGAAGGCGTTGAGCTGCTCGTTGCCCCCGGCCTCCATCTTCTTGATCTGGATCTCCGACCAGGAGTCCATGGTGACGGATCGGACGAAGGAGATGTGGACGCCGAGGCCGCGGTGCTTGCCGGAGCACTCGAGGCACATGAAGACGCCGTAGGACACCGACGCCCACTGCGGGTTCTTCTGGGCGCAGTCGACGCAGGTCTTGTTCGCCGGCTGCGACTGCAGGTCGCGGAGGCGCCTCGATGCCGCCATTCCCGGTCGGTGACGATTTCGGCGGGGCGGGGTGGGGTCGATCCGGATCGGATTCCGGGAAGCGGGTATCGGCGAGATTCGACAAGGAAGGGATAAAGATCGGAGCTTTATCGTTTCGATCCCCCTTTATTTCCTCGGAGGAGCGAAAACGCGGAGATCGCCGACACCGTGAAATGGGGCGTCATGCGACCAATTTTGGGCGTTGTGGAATTCGGTGATCTAGCTGCTTGTCCGCAAGGAGGCAGAGGGAGGGTAAATAAAAAAGCGCGAGGCCGCACTGATCATGAACGAGGAGGATAGAGAAAATTGCCGAGTAAAGTAAATAATGATATTCGGTTGAAGAAGAAGAAATTTATTTTTAAGTTACGCATTTAGAACCTAAGCTTTCGTTTTGCCGTTTTACACAAATCGACCCTCCCAACTTTTTCTTATTTTCGAGCGGGGTCCTTGGAGTTTCTCGATTTGTCCAATCGGGACCCTGTGTGTCTGACGTGGCGTTGCCGAGGTGGTCACGGACATGCTCCGCGGTCTCGCGCGCGCGTTGCTGATGTGGTTGTTGCCCGGACTCCAAGAAGATTGGGCGTGCACCTGACATAAAACCAAAGAGAGATCTATGCTTGTGTCACGGACCACGACTCTCCTGTACTCCTGTACCCTCGTGAGTGGAGCTTGATGGTATCGGATGAAGAGCGAGCGATGCAGATGGGATGATACAACCGGTTTGTGGGAGTGACGTCGGGGTGGTTTATGCTAGAAGCTATAAGTTATAATGAATATACTCTTAGGAGCTTTGAAGGCGTGATTGGCCTCCGGTGTATAAACTGGTTAAGAGCTGATGCCACTCTCCTAATAAGACCATGACAAGTCGAAACTAGTTATTGTACCTAAAGTGTTTTACATGCCTCGCTCGAGGGACTGGATGCCTGAACTAAGTTGAGCATGGTACAATCTACTACGAGAGTGTTATTCGGCATACCTTTAATAGGAACAACTATAGAATGAAGGCTAGCTTAAGGTCTTCTCAACTCTTCAAGCGTCGCACAAGATATTTCACGACTAAGGAACTACCAGCTCATGACACTTGCATGACCAACATTCACATGTATCCGAACTGAGCGACTCAAATTAGTGTCACCATTGTTTATGGTAGGCTAGGCCTAGCTAACGGGCCATGCCGGATTGGGCACGCAACAACCTGACACGACCAGGCCCGTGTTTGGGGATGAGCTCGATTCAAACAATGGTATACTAGGCACGGCCCGTTGGGTGGCCGACCATGCCTAGACCCCGGCCGATTTTGAGAAAGCACCAAGCCAAGCCAAGCCCGACAACTGTTTTAATGGATTTGGCAATTGAATCCAACCGTTCGGCCCAAGAAGAAATGAACTTTTGGGCCGAGGGTCAGCCTCGAAAATGGGGTCACTGACCAATGACCATTGAACACCCAACGGCTTGCCGACCATGGGGGAAATTACCCAAAAAGTCCTAAACTTATTGCACTTGTATCAATTTAGTCCTTTTTTTTTTTTCAATTTAGCCAATTTAGTCCTAAGCCAAATATAGTCCATCCGGCCAATTTTGATCGAAAAAAGATAACTTGGAAGCCGGCCGTCCTACGTGGCATGGCCAACGTTGGGCGAGGGCTCGCAGCCCTTACTCAGACGCCATGGCTGGCGAGGCCTCGCAGCCCTCGCTTAGATCTAGGCACGAGCCTCGCTAGTGATCGACAAGGGCTCACAGGCCCTCACTTAGTGGCTGGCGGGCGTTGCCGAGCCTTGACTGATGGCCAGTCGCCCCCGCAGGCCCTCAACAAAAAAAAAAGAAAGAAAAATAATAATTCTTTTAAAAAGAATTTCAAAAAAAATTTAAAATTTTCAAAAAAATTTCATATTAACATCGGCCGTGCCACGTAGGACAGCCAGCTCCCACGTCATCAATTTCCGGTCAAGATTGGCTAAATAAACTATATTGACAAATTATTAAAAGGTTTAAGATTAAATTGGTCAAATTAAAAGATTTATGATTGAATTGGCACAAATACAATAAATTTAAAATTTTCCTTTTATTAATTGTCCCTCGAATATGAGGTCAACAAGTGCTATTTCCCCCCTTACCCTTGACTCTTTATAGCTCTTCAAGGTTTCGAATCCTTCACCTATCCCTATGCTCCCCCATAACACCCCGGCCTAGGGGCTGCTCCTTTTTCATATGTTAATAATGCCCAAGCCTTTGATAGATAGTATTTCTTTCAACCCGAAAGAAAACTAAAGTTAACATATAGATAGCACAAGATAAATCTATGATCTAACTATTAAAAAAAATGATTCCGATTCAATGTTAAAACACATAAAATTAGCTCTATCAGAGGACAGATGAAAATATTAGGAGAACCGAGTACAAACACTAAATTAAATCTTGACCGTCACATCTAATGGGAGGAACCCTCTATTTTCAATAATTTGGATTCAATTTAGTACGTATACTACACTCGTGGTGTTTATTCTCTCATTTTGTACTTCCACCTCAACCCATGCATAACAACAAGAGAGAGCCGACCACACCACCACCAGGTCGACCAGTATGCCATTAAAGCCTCACTATGCTTTTTATGAAGTAGCCATGTCGAGATCTGTGCTTTCTCAGGAATGAACTGTCCGTTCAAATCCAGAGATTATGACAGCTAAAATGACATGAATATATGACCCCACCGCCTCATAGAACCGCACTTGGGAAAGGACAGTGATTGTCTTTACTTGCCATCTGAAACTCTACCTGTGTCCTCTTCCTTTCAAAGAGCACATATGTCTATGAGGAAATTCAAAAGGTAAATTCTCATTCACGGACATGATAATTACACTCTCAGTTCACTTTCGCGAACTTTGCATGCAAACAGGTCCAAGAGCCCAGAGAATACAATTTTTCCATATGATGCGAATATTGGAAGCGTGATACATGAGGGTTCAAAGCTTTCAAGAACCTAAATGGGAGAATGCTTTTTCTACATTAAGAGAGAGGTACAAAAACACAGAATATGAGAGACAGACTCCGGCGAGCATTGTCCATAACATAGCCTCCAACGAGATGTATGGGCTCAAGAAGAAGATCACTGCAATCGATGCACTCTGCCAGACTTTAAGCTGCGCAAATGCTCCTTCCTGTCCCCAGAAGCAATCAACATGCACAAACAATCATGCTTGGATGATGATTCATATGAAATCAGAAAGAAACAACTCAGATACACCTACCCTATATATTAAATGCATGTAATGCAAGCACTTTGCTTCCTGAAAAGTTAGGCAAGCGACAATACAAAGTAAATGCACGTTCACACAAAAGCTCTCGATATTGATACCGGATGGTAGATGAAATTTCGTAGATCACAACTCAGAAGTTCAATTGAAGTGAGTAACAAGCCTAATTTGACTCTTTACAAGGGATCGTTTGAAGTTTTGAAATTCACTGGCAGAATCCTTCATCGTACTTTATGTTCATGCATGGAATACTAGAAAAGAGTCGTGTCTCAACTTTTTTCTTACCGTATCGCTCTTGAAGAGCAATCCAAGAAGAGCATTCAGTTGTGTATTAAGAACACCGTCACCAATTCCCAAAATTCCAGCCAGTACAAGAGGGCATATAATCTGAAACACTCCGCTAAAGCTGCATTACAACATCACAACAGTGGAAATAGATGCTTCAGATCACAATGTCGATTAGAATTTGCTCCAGAACTCAATCTGAGTAAAGAGAGAACCTGCTTTTCACCAACATCCAGATGAACGCAGATGCGTGAAGAAGAGCGCCACCGGAAACTATCCAAGTAATTGATGTAAGACCAGAGGTGAGACGACCAGCAGCCAGGGAGCACTGAGAAAGATACACATATTAAAAAAATAGATTATAATATTGCAGTATATCCAAAAACCTACAGTTCTGCAATGGATATGTAAGCTAACATAACCACTTTTACAGATCAACCAACTGGAAATTTTTTTTTTACTCAGGCAGGCTAGTTGCTGCTATTCCAGTATTAGGTCCTAATGGTAGCTTGTTCCTGAGAATAGCTCTCCAAGTAGACCTCGAGTACAAAAATCACTCATGGACTAATAATTTGCAGGATTCATGCAGCAACACAAAAAAATAAAGAATATAACACTCAATAGTCCATGATGCACATGTCAAAACTAAAAAAGGACAAAAGGAAACAACACCCATAATACTTTTGCAAAATTAGTTTGTTCACAAAGTAGAAAAAGACATAAAAGTAATGAAATTGTCAACGGCTAAGAAGAAAGTGAAGATTCAAATCTTGCATGCATTTAAATACTTACTATAGCATCAAAAGAAGAAAGTGAAGATTCAAATCCTGCACGCATTTAAATACTTACTATAGCATCAAACGCCCCATAGACGACCATGGAACCAGCTACACCAGACTCCCCAAGAGCCGGTTTGACAATGTCCTTCGTGAATTCAGCCCTAAGATATCAAGATGGTTTATTAACTGGTGCTTAGGAAAACCGCAATGTAACAAACATCAAGGTTTGAAGGCACGTGAGTCATTCAATTTAAATGAAACATTAAAGACCTTGAATCACCACATCAAGCAATGTTACACTCTGCATATAGTACCATGCAGATAAGCCGATTGTATTGTCACAGAACCTTCTCCTTTTAAGATTGAGATCATATTGTGCACAACCTTGGTTCAACTCATCACTGGCATATTAACGTAATCATCTAGAGCATCTTCAAATAATGTTCTCATAGAAACTGATGGGAAGAAACAGAGAATAAAACAAGCACGATTAAGATTGATTTAGCAGGCATCCATTATTTGACTTTTCATTAACAAGTTGATCAAACCAGACATATTTGTTTAAGTATGTTCTGTTGTAATTTATGCATTGGCAATTTTTTCCATGGCACTTACCATGAACTCGCGTAAATGGTAACACAACTTGGTGTGAATCAACAATTGTAAAACCAATGCAAAAGTTAACAACTTCACTGAAAGTATTCGATCTCCATTAGGGTGACAGCGCTTTATGGGATGGACTACTTGGTGTTTAAGTACCGACAGGTACGCATACAACTGTACCTCCATGTAATAATTCTTCAATGAACTTGCTTTATGACTATAATTAAAGGATAAAATGACTTGTGACTTGTTTAAGGCGCTTTGGACGTGTCAAAGGATAACTTAAGCAAGATTTCAAGAAATTGCATGCATCAAAACAAAAAATCAATGACTGGCATATGCATGTTCTAAGATACAGAGTAATGTAGTACTTACCAAACAAATGCTTGCTGCAGCCCTGAATATGCAATCAGTGGGATTACCAGAAGCATTCGTACGTCAAACAAAGGAGTAATCACAGACTTTGATAGAGACACCAGAGAAGAACGGAAACTAGCAGGGAATTCTGGGGAAGCTCTTTCTTCTCTACTGTCTCTTTTTCTCAAGAAACACATAAGTATGGTGCCGAAGGTCATACTGCAAAGAAACACAATGAACAGTAATGTCGTTCCGCTTGCACTCCCGTCCTACATTTAAGGGAAACAAAATCCACAATGAAGGATAATGACACTCTTAGAATCAAGGGAAGATAAGAACAAATGCAGAAACACTCGTTATAATCATCTTTCCATTCGTAAGAAAGGATCTCACTGAAAGGCAGTATTGATTGCCTTTTATAAATGGACAAAATGAGAAAAAATCACGCAGTATGATTATGTATGTTAATGGACAAGCAAAAGAATCGAAAAACAAAGAAATGAGTAAGGGAATGCCCCATACAGATTCCTCTCTAAAAACAGCTAGTGACATTAGAAAGTTAACAGAAGGATAGAAAAAAAGAAGGAATGAGTAAAGGGGAGGAAGCCAAATACCGTTTCCTCTCTCAAAACAGCAAGCGATACTAGATTCCCAACAACCTGCAAAGACATGGTCAAAAAGATCAGGACAACATGCTGGATGTTTCAGATAAAAAGCCTATCTTTAAAAAATCAATTAGCAAATTTGACCTGATGACTGGCAAACATTCCCCAAAATTCTCCATTAAAGGCACCAATAATTGTTCCTTCATGTAAGCTGCAATCTTTTGCATGAGTACGTGCAGTCGAGGTGAGATATGTCCCCTGATAGAAAAAAATTACGTAAGGGAAAAAACAGATAGCAAGATAACAGCAGTGGACCTGAAATAAAGACAGACTGCGTTTACACACAAATCAAGAGGAAGCAAATCCACCTGCCCAACCCATATTATTGACGCAGCAAACCCAAGATATAAAGAAGCTGGAACCATTGTGTACCTGCATCAGGAACAGCTAAAAGATGAAGAATGTGCAGTCCACCACAAAGTTTATGAGTAAATGAACAGAAACGTAAACTGTCAATTTCTTTTTCAGCCCAAAACTGAACCGTCTAATTTGAAAACTAAGGACGTCTTCACCATCTCTATCTGGCACTTTCTATTTTGTTTTGGCAAGAAAGGGGCTTTATGATGGCCAAAAGATCGATAGCACTACTGAGTACCCCTCTAATCTACAGATCCACAGTATTTCTGCATTTGCACTAAGTTAGATGACGAGCTATGCCTATGAGCTAACTAACTAGATTTCCGAAGTACATAGTAATCTGCCTGCGACAACATCTCATTAAGATGCTCAGAGGCTATTATGTTTACCACAAGCAACCTCATATACCCCCATTGTGGGGAAATAAAAGGCATGACCAATGTATACAATAAATTCACGGACTCTTTGAAACACCGGGACCGGAAATTTTTATAAGCAATCGGGCTGAGTAGTATAGACAACCTACAGACCCAGAAGGGCATACCAGGATGGTTTCAAATTCGCTGCTATGAACAGCCAGTACCCAGTAGTCCCAAGAAGAATAGCATTTTTGGGACCCAATGAACGAACCACCAGAGAAGCCACCAAGGAGAAGAATGTGAAGGACACGTACAATATCCCAAGCGAGATCGTGCCCAAATTATCCGCCTGCAACAAAAATCAAGAAACTCATCAAACCAAAACGCAACGTCAAACGAACAAAAAAAAAAAACATTCCTACAAGCAACCTCAGACCCAGAATTGCAAAATCTGCCTCTGGGTTTTCATCTGAAGACCGTCGATTTCTTCTCTCAATTCACCCAAAATTCCAACGAAATCGACTCGGAAAACTCACAGTGTTCACGGTGCTCTCGAGATTCTGAGCAGCGCCGTAGGCCGAGAAGATGAGCAGGAACCCGCAGCTCAGGACATGGACATCACGGGCATGGCCCCTCGTAGGCGACGGAGCCGGCGGGGCCTCGGCGGCGACCAACGGAGCCTCCTCGTCGCGGTGGGAATCTGCGGAATCCATCTCTCTCTCTCTCCCCGGACCCTGACTTCGCCGTCGCAGCGACCGCCTATATAACCGCACGGGCGCCGGGTACGGTCCACGAGGGTGGGGTCAAAACAGCACGAAGCGTGCGGCCGGCGAGGACCATGATGGGCTACGCGACGACGTAGGGAAGAATCGTCGACATCAACACATGTTCAAGAAAATTTAGAAAAATCGGGACAGCAGGAGGAGGAGGAGTCCGAGGGGATCAAAAGGGAGGGAAAGAATCATGGGATCGGACAAAGGAGATGAGGACCAGAGGGGAAAAGGACGAGGGGCGGGAGGGCGACGGCGAAAGGAGCGTTTTTGGCGCAACCCGGAGATGACTTCGCCGTGCAAGGGATGTCCCTCAACTGCTGATCGCCCGTCGCGGGCGGGCTCGAGAATAAAATTTTCCTTCTGTTTTTTCGATACGATCTCGTCGGCATTTTTTACCCCGTTCTTTTTTTTTTTGTCCACCCCAAGAAAACGTCCCGAGTGTTGCCGTCGGTGACCAAATCGATAAGAAGTTCGGTAGACAGCCGACGGGAGCAAGATTCGCTAAGTTGACCAGGAAGCCAACTTTAGTCGATGAAGCGAGAAAGATGAAGCAAATGTCGACGATCGAAGATCAACTTCGCCGGCAAAAGAACCGCGGCGGACATGACCATCGATTGGGGGTGGAAAAATGAAATGACGGCCCTAAGTGGTGGAGCCGACGATTTCGAATGCAACCGCCAAGAACTTGTAAAGAAGTAAATCCGATGCAGCTCGTCAAGTAGCTGAGCTAAAGTGTCCGACGGTAATGGATAACCGTGAAGAAGTGGAGGAATACGGCTGTTCGGTAATGGAGTGGGATCTTGGATGCGGCCATAAGATGGTAACCGTCGAAGAAGAGAAGGCAATGGATCGATAACCTCGAGATTAACTATTTGTAGTAAGTGATGCTAGATCATGGGAGTCATGTGAAGCTTGTATAATTTCCTTAGTAATATTCGTTGTTAACTGGTCGATAGTAAGTATAGATACTCGAATTATAGTTTATAGAAAGGATCGTCAATCAATCAATAAACATCAGTTGTACAATTTTATTTTCAATTTATCTTTCTATGCCAATACTCGTTACATCTCTGTTAACAATTATTTCTAGTCTCAATAGATTTAATTTTCTCAACATTTACGTTTTTCAGTCCAAGAATCAGCAAAGAATCCTTCACGTCATTTATCGATTTATTCATCGATCCATGTTTCAAGAGGTATTTCATCGATATTTTTTGGTAAAAACGATTAGTAGTGGAATCGATATTAAAAGAATAGAAAAAAATAGAAAGAGCCGGCCGGAAAGGGGAGGCATCGCCCCTCCTTCGTCGACAACGATCGGCAAAAGCGAGTCCTGAGGATGGGCACGTCCACCATCATGCATGGTACCATTGAAATGCTAGTGAGATATGACCCTTCAATGGCATCTAGCGCACGAGTCATATTCTCGCAAATAGGTTCGAAAACACAACTGCTAGAGACTTGCACCTTAACTTTATGTTTGAAACTTGTGAGTGGTATAGAAAATATCAAGAGCCATCTTCCAAGAGAGTCGAGATTGTGAGAAAAGCCCTTTCTTGTAATTAAGTGTCGTGAAATGGGGTTTAATTTAGAATTGGTGAACACTTATAAATGACTATGATTGAACGATTGTAATCATATATATTTATTGGTTATATGGGAATCATCCCATTGATCTCTCACCGTGAAGTAGGCACATTGTTGAACCATAATAATTTCCGGTCACACGAAAAAGTTTGCCCCTGCTATATATAAAGCGGGGCTGATGCCTGTATCAGTTAGTGCTCATGCAATTTATTTTCTCCCCCAGAAGTGACTGTTTATTGGATAGCTGCTGGCTCGAGAACTCTTCTTCTCCGGTACACTCATGGCCATGAATACTTGGGTGAAAAAGTTGAAACCGTTCATCCTCGTTGCATTCTTTCGACTCGGCCTTGCTGGAATGGACCTCATTTCCAAAGCCGCATTGAACAACGGCACGAGCAATTATGTGCTTGTCGTCTACCGGCACGTTGTTTCCACAGTCGTCATCGCACCTTTCGCCATCGTCCTCGACAGGTCTCTCCCCCCAATCCAATACAATTTACGATAATTTAACTGAGAAAACTTTTCTTTCGCATCATTTGGTTTTGGTTAAATTGGAGTTTGGATAAACCGATCATGGGAATTTTTCGTCTTCAGGGAAGTGGAGAACGTGGCCGAAGATGACACTTCGCATATTCGTCAGACTCCTGGCGCTTGGCTTACTAGAGTAAGTATTAGATTGTCACCTTCTCATTTGTCATTTTTTGGTGGTTTTCACTATTATCTCTTGACCTGGTTTTTCATTCTTTTGTCTCTCAAGACCGGTCATTGATCAAAATCTATACGATTTGGGAATCAAGCACACCACTGCCATATTTGGTGCATCCATGTCCAACGTTCTTCCAGCTTGGATCTTGCGGTAAGTCAGGATTCTTTTATCACATTCTTTTGATTTTCGATGATGCATGAACTAAGGCTTAGAAAGAAGCAGTTGGGGCTGGGCTCCGAACTAGGAGAGTTTGCTTTTGTTTTCTATTTCTAAGAGCAGTCCGGTCTAGTTTGGTTCGGGACCTGCTCACCCCGAACCTACTATAATGCCCGCTGGTTTACTTTTTAAAACAATTGGTGTGGACTTGAGACAGTGAAGATGAGGAGCACACGGAGGCAATTTAAGGTCTTTGGGACATTGGTGACAGTGGCAGGAACCATGATCATGACGCTAGTCAAAGGCCCAGTCCTCCAACTATTTCGGACATGAGCGACGACCAGCCATAATATTCAAAGCAGGGTGCTAATGGCGGGATCACTTTCCAGAACTCCATCAAGGGCGCTCTGATGATCACGGCTGGGATGTTCTGCTGGTGTTGTTTCATGATCCTTCTGGTAATTATTTAATTTAGTTGATCTTCACATGTATACATTCATATTTGTTAAAAGGCTAATGATAAAAAACAACAGCACACAAACTTGCATTGTCGTGGTTTTTTTCAATTTTCCACAGGCAGCAACACAATGCTACCAAAATGTCCTATCGAGTTCTCTCTCACGGCTTAGTATATTTTCTAGGGACCGTTGAGAGTGCTGTTTTGGCGGTGATCATGGAAAAAGGGAACGCTGCATTTTGGTCCATACATTGGGACGCCAAATTAGTCACAGCAGTCTAAAGTGTAAGCACTCCCCAACTTCATGCTTATTTAACTTATTTTCCTCTACAAAATGATTTCAGAAAATTATAATGCCTACTACTGTTATCAGTTCTTATCTTCGGTAATGCCTACCACTATTAACTTGTGACATTAAGTTTCATTCATTTTCATGAGATGTACGAAATATGCACATGAGATGCACGGGCTCGTTAGTCGGCTCATGAGATGCACGAAATATGCACATGAGATGCATGGGCTCGTTAGTCAGCCGATGAGCTCCGGACCTTATTTGAGACTATATTGGCAACTTCAGAATTTTATTTAAGATAAGTTCTACTTTGAACCCTCTTTTGACAAAATCGCCTAATTTCGAACCCTTCTTTGAAATTTCCCCTTTAAAAATTGTATTATGCTAATTAATTATTTTAAATCATGATTATAGGTGCAATCATTATTGTGGTCAGTTTGTACATTGTTGTTTGGGGCAAAAGTAAGGAATACTAGTTGCCTTCACCGATAGATGAGCAAATAGCACAACCAACAGAGCTGCCTAACAGCGGGCAAGGGAACAGATTCATGAACAATAAATGTCGTGTAATCTCTCAATAGATAGTAGAGATACTTATTCCTAGATTATCAATCCCGTGGGTCGATGTTATCTATGAGGATATATGTCCAGAAGGAAATTCAAAAGGTAATTTATCATTCACATATATGTAAACTCCGAATTCAGTACACTTCCGTCAACTTTGCACTCAAACAAGTTTCAAGAGCCCAAAGAATATAACTTTTCCAATGTAAGGAGAAATTTCAAATTAGAGTCTAAAATGAGACTTTTTCTGAAAAGAAAGCCTAAAGTGGATATTGTCATCTTTGCCTAAAAGTGAGCTTATGTGTCTCACGTGCATAGATGCACGAAAGATAAACGTAATATGCATGGGAGATGAATGGGCTCGTTGGTCAGCAAAAATTTGGTCTGCCTATGAGTTTGGGACCTTATTTGAAATTAAATTGGCAATTCCAAGACTTTGATTTGAGATGAGTTTCACTTTGACCCTCTTTTGTGAAAACGACCCCATTTCAGACTTTTTTAAAAAATTTCCCCTTTTAAAAATTATATTATGCTAATTAATAGTTATGGCCCCTCAATTGTCGGTTAGAAGCAAGTCATGGAGATGGGTAAGTCAATCATCGCAGCACCATCGGAATGCTAGCAAGATCTGACCCCCTTAGCGGCATCTAGCGCATGAGGTACTCGCACAAATAATTTAAGAAACATAACTATTAGAGACTTATACCTTAACCTTACTTTCTAGCCCAACCACTTTGGTGATTAGAAATTTTCAACAAATTAGAAGGTTTGCTACAAATTAGAGTATCTGTCTTTAAATTTTCTTGTTATGTTTGACCTTTTTTATATATGCAATTCATACGTTGGAAACTTGCAATGTTTGGTGATTTTATTTCATTATCTCTATTCAGACACAAAAAAAGAATACTTTCAATATATCTAAAAGTGCTTCGAGAGGGCCAAATAGGATTTTAAAATGTACGTACTATCTTTTTGAATTCGTTTAAAGAAATAATGTGCATTTTCACCAAAACAATTTTTTAACTTCAATTCCTTTAAATTTGGGAAAATACCAAAAACCATCCTCAAATTTTGTACAAATACCCATTTGCATCCGCTATTTTTAAAAAAGGATAAGTGCATTAAAGCTGCGAATGATAACCATTCTGTTTCTCTATTTATGTTCCAGAAATAGGTTTGGAACAGAAATTAGAAGTTAAAATTTTTTGCTTCTCTATTTTTAGAACAGAAATGAGAAGTTAAAATTCTTCTCACCGTTCGCCCTCGCTACTAGTCAGTCGCCCATCCGCCACCCACTTGCCGGCGACCGCCGCCCGCCACCACCCACCGACGGTCGCCGCCCACCGCCGCTCGCCGCCCGCCGTCCACCGGCCATTGTCTCCCGCCGCTGGCCGCCCTCCTCCAGCCGCCGCTCGAATCCCCCTGCCACTTGCCTCCCACTACCAGCCATCGTCTCCCATCGCCCGCATCCCACCGCCGGCCACCATGGGCCACCACCCGCCGTCCACCGGCCACCGTCTCCGGCTGCCGGCCGCCCTCCTCCCTCCGCCACCCGCCTCCCATTGCTGGCCACCCGCCTCCCACTGTCGGCCACCGTCTC